CTATCTACTTTTTTTTTTTTTAACATCTTTATTGGAGTATAATTGCTTTACAATGGTGTGTTAGTTTCTGCTGTATAACAAAGTGAATCAGTTATACATATACATATGTTCCCATATCCCCTCCCTCTTGCGTCTCCCTCCCTCCCACCCTCCCTATCCCACCCCTCCAGGTGGTCACAAAGCACCGAGCTGATCTCCCTGTGCTATGCGGCTGCTTCCCACTAGCTATCTCTTTTACGTTTGGTAGTGTATATATGTCCATGCCACTCTCTCGCATTGTCACAGCTTACCCCTCCCCCTCCCCATATCCTCAAGTCTGTTCTCTAGTAGGTCTGTGTCTTTATTCCTGTCTTACCCCTAGGTTCTTCATGACTTTTTTTTTCTTAAATTCCGTATATATGTGTTAGCATACGGTACTTGTCTTTCTCTTTCTGACTTACTTCACGCTGTATGACAGACTCTAGGTCTACCCACCTCATTACAAATAGCTCAATTTCGTTTCTTTTTATGGCTGAGTAATATTCCATTGTATATATGTGCCACATCTTCTTTATCCATTCATCCGATGATGGGCACTTAGGTTGCTTCCATGTCCTGGCTGTTGTAAGTAGAGCTGCAATGAACATTTTGGTACATGACTCTTTGAATTTTGGTTTTCTCAGGGTATATGCCCAGTAGTGGGATTGCTGGGTCATATGGTAATTCTATTTGTAGTTTTTTAAGGAACCTCCATACTGTTCTCCATAGTGGCTGAACCAATTCCCATTCCCACCAGCAGTGCAAGAGTGTTCCCTTTTCTCCACACCCTCTCCAGCATTTACTGTTTCTAGATTTTTTGAGGATGGCCATTCTGACTGCTGTGAGATGATACCTCATTGTAGTTTTGATTTGCATTTCTCTAATGATTAGTGATGTTGAGCATTCTTTCACGTGTTTGTTGGCCGTCTGTATATCTTCTTTGGAGAAAATATGACAGGTAATTTTATAAATATTATTTTGACAGATAAGTAGAACGTGTCAGGGGCAGAAAACCCATGCAGTGGAATATGTGAAGTATTTAAATTACTTCTCTTAAAATGAACTTCATGTTTTCAATGATAGATGTTTATTTTCCGGGTTAGACCTTAAATATTCCCATTTTCACTGAAATGGCATGTTTTTAAAAAGGCAAAGTTACTCCCACAGTCCGCTGCATCCTACCAGCCGTCAGAGCCGGGCCCCAGTGTGAGTCCCGTGGGATTTGAAATTGTCATTTTCAAATCGTCTGACCCCGGCCAGGCCATGTGCCAGCCTGGGGGCTGGGAGGAATATGCCTTGGCCACACAAGAGACAGTCTTAGCCGAAGACTCATTTACATATTCTTATATTAAATGTCACAAAATGGAATGCTAAGAGGCAGAATTTGTTTCTTCATCAGTCTCTGATTTTATTTTTACGTTTCCTGTTTTAAAAATGTAGGTCAAGTCTAGCACAGAGTACAGGTTTCTTAGGAGGTTCGTTAAATTGGCAAAAGACTGGACTCATGCTCCCCAGCAGGGAGAAGTTGGGTGGACCCGGCAAGCTGGTCTTGGTTCCCGCTAACTGAACTCTGTGTATGTAGAGATGCTCATGTGTCCACACAGGAAAAAAGCTCTTCAGTTCAAACAGCAGAGGCATCTTGTTTCTGCAGAATTAAGCCACGGGAGCAGGACCCACCTTGAAAGGAGCATCAGGCGCTGGGCGGCTCCTGGCAGGTTCTCTGTGTGGCGGCCTTAGAGCAGGAAAGGCTCTGCACTGGCCTCGAGAGGGGCACAGCCGGCCAGGAGGGCAGCGAGTGGATGGGTGGGTCTCTCAGCAAACGTGACGCTTCCTCTAGTTCTCTGCTCACCACGGCCACTCGGGTTCAGCCGCAGGCCTGAGACCGACTCCCCTCCTCTGTGCACGCCCGTCAGACACTTATCTGGTCCATATGGGCCAGACACCTGTGGGTCAGTATGAAAGCTCGATTATTTTAATAGGAAAGAACCACTTTGACCATGAGCACATCCACGGGTGCTTGGAACCACATCACAGATGAAAACGATAAAAATTGGGAGCCTGACGCATGAAACTCCTGCTGCCGCCAGGAAATAAGATCTTCCCAACCAACTACCGAATTCCAGAGCAAGTCTGGAGAGCGCGTGCGTGTGCACGTGTGTCAGTGTGTGCTGCGTGTGCGTCCGTGCACACCTGTCCTACGTGGAGCTCCTGCTTGTCTCCAGAAAATCTCAAGGGTGATGTTCAGAGCCCCCGGGGGCCACTCCACAGCCTGTGACAAACACGGGCTGTTAAATATTAACCGGGTGCTACGGAATGCTCTGGAATGTCCACAGACACCGGACACCCGTGGTGAGCTCGTGTGGGAGCCTCAGAGCTGCTGGACGTTCACCTGAAGCTGTAAATTCATTCATCGGGGGCTGCGGTCCAGCAGCGGTCAGTCCTGGCTCGTGGCCTTCTGTCTCCTATCCATAGTTGCGACACCATGCAGACCCTGTTGGCCGGGAGACGGGACGGGGGGAAGGAGCCGCTGACCCTGCGGGGGCCCCGCCCTAATAAGGCGCCACCTGGATCCCTCGTCTGGCCCGGCTGTCAGCCCCACCAGCGGCCTGGCGCCCAGGCACATCCTTCCCGGGGGCCCCAAGCGGGTGGCGTGCGGGCCCTGGCCCTCTGCTTGCTGAGTGCCTGTGAGGCTCCCGTGAACGGCCTGTCGTTGTTTGGGACTGTCTTTTGAGCTCTGTGAGGCTCCCGTGAACGGCCTGTCGTTGGGACTGTCTCCTGAGCTCTGAAAATTTATAAGTGCTTCTTCATCTCGTAATTAAGTGAAGTCAGCGCAGTAGCTGGTCTTTGTCAGCGCGGCTTTGATGAACGGTTCACTGCTGATTTGAACCACACTTGAAACAGCAGGCGCTCGCTTCTCTGGGTTGAAGAGACATTTGTTCCCAAACGCAGGGACGGAGGAGAGCTCGGGGAGGCCACAGTGCGGGGGGGCGGGATGAGGCGGGCGCTGCTAACTGGATGTCGTAGAAGGAAATGGAAAACCAGCCAGAGCAGCATATAGTCAGTTCTCTGCACGGAAGACAGAGAGCGAGACACCCGGGCAGGGAAAGCGCTCAGCTCCCAGCACTGGACCTTCCAGCGGAATTCCGACTTACTCATCTGGACGGAGCTTCAGCTTCCATTCTAACGTCCCAACTTGGAAAAATGACCCGTAGAGACGGAAGCAGGATCTCGGTCACCGCGGTCAGCTGCAGCTGGACCGGAGGTTTCCCGTTTCTTCGGGTCACTGACACATGCCCCTCTTGTGCTCCCTCGGTCACCTGGCAGCCTGGCCCTTTGCGCTGTGCCCCGGCCCCCTCCGTGTCCTGAGCCAGTGCGGCTTGGAAGGTCTTGGTCATCCAGCCTGAGCTTCTTCCCCGTGGGCTGTGAAGTGACCGTCAGGGCGCCTTCCCACAGGGCAGAGACGGAGCCCGGACGGGGCTCACGGGGCGCATGGACCCGACCACAACCCCGCTGCGGGGCTGGTTCTTCCGTGGCTTCCACTCGGCCGCAGGGCTGGGAGGGGCTCGCGACCCCCTGAGAATCCCGCAGGGGAGCAGGCGGGTCGGGGGCCTGCAGGTGGCCTCGTTGGCACTGCCGTATCTGGGTCTCTGCTGCTGTGGAAGCAGTGACAGTGCTCTCGGGGGCGGCACTAGTTCGGTCCATCAGACTGTGTTACAATTGCTACCTGTTGTCAAAGCAGCTAAAATTAGTCCAGGGAGAGCATGACCACAACTCGAGAAGCAACAGAGCTGTGCTGACTGAGCCTTTCTGCTCGTGGGGCTGCCCCTCCCGCGGGGATCCTCCGTCGGGACCCTTGGGGGCTCTGGCTGGACGCAGGTCGCCTGCCTCTGCAGGAGGAGGAGGTGAGCCCCAGGGGTCTTGTGGAATCTGGGCCTGGGCCTCGCCCTGAGCTGCCTGCTTTCTTCAGGATTTGCCTCTTGAGTACGGTCAGCTGTGACCTGGATGGAGAAGGCGAGTCAAGTTCAGTTCTGAAAAGGACTCACCCCGAGGGAGGCAGCGGCTGGAGGTGTAGGGGCACGAGGAGGGCTCTGACCTGCGCCCCTGGTAGTCAGCCCGGGTGCGGCCAGTGTAGGTCCTGAAATGCGGGAGCAGCGCTCTCCCATGGGCTCCTGGTGCACGATGGGCTCGTTCCGGTTCTGGGGCCCGAGTCTCACTGGGTTTTGTGCCCACACACGATCTTGTCTTCAAGACCGTGCACCTAGCCGGCTGGCCCACATGATCGGAACAGCCACGCGTGGCCGCCCGTGTTGGGTCTGATGCTGGTGGCAGACGGGCCACTACCTGGGGCTCCCCGCAGCTGGTCCAGGGGCGCCTGCAACGGGCACCAGGGCAGCCCGTAGCCACCACCTGCCAAGCCAGGCCGAAAAGGGCCGATGCTGTTTGTATCTTGTTTGCAAGCGTCCTGTTTGCTGGTTCGGACTGGACTGAGCAGGGGAAAGTGGATGGCGTCCTCTTGCGCGAGTGTCTGAATTCATCAGGGGAGGCTTGTGCGGACGGCTTGGCACTGGCCCAGCTTCGGGTGGGGCCCCACGAGCTGCTTGTGTCACCCGCGTGTGGGAAGAGGGGTGGCCTGAGGAGGAGGCAGTGGCCCGGAGAGACTGGCTCTGCTTCCCATCTGCCTCCTCCTGCGGGTCCCCGTCACTGTCCTGGGCACGGGGCACGTGTGCTCCTGGGATGCAGGTACATGCGTGCAGGTGTGCACTGCACGTCTGTGTGCGTGTGTTCCAGCGTGGGCAGCCAAGCGTTCAGAACCGACTGCGAAGCAGAGGCCCCAGACTTTGGGGCCCGAGGTGCAGGAGGGGCTGGGGGACCAGCCTCGGCCCGCGCACACTCCCCTCTGAACCAGCCTCTGCACGGGGAGCACGGTGGGTCTGGGCGTGGTGTGGCACGGCGCTCACAGGCCTGTCCCCCTCTCTCCCCAGCTGCACGGCTACATGGAGAGCGAGCCGCTCACCCTGCAGCTGTTCATCGGGACAGCGGATGACCGGCTGCTGAGGCCCCACGCCTTCTACCAGGTGCACCGGATCACGGGCAAGACCGTCTCCACCACCAGCCACGAGGCCATCCTCTCCAACACCAAGGTCCTGGAAATCCCGCTGCTGCCGGAAAACAACATGCGAGCAATGTAAGCTGCGCCTCGGGGGCTTGGTGGGCGGGGGCGGGGGCTCAGGTGGGTGCTTGCACGCCTGCATGTCTCCCCACATTTCCACAGCTCAGGGGCCCTGGGTGCCCTGGGCTTAACACCTCAGTAAACGTTACAAATATTTATGACAATGGATTTGTTTCTTCCTGGGGTTTCAGCCCCTGTGCATGTTGCCACTTCAAGTATCTCAGTTCCCAGCTGTCAGTACTTCCTCCATGTGTGAACGTGGCACCCATGTATTTCTGTGACTGCACTGTGGAAGTTAAAGCAGTGGTCAAAAGGCAAACATTGAAACATTAAAGAGACCGGTATGTCTGGGTCGTATTTTCACTGAGGGTTTCTGCATCTCCGATGTGACCAGCAATCTTCTCGTGTCCAAGTAGGGCTTGTGTTCGTGGCTTCCTGAACTGAGTGACTGCTACATGCATTTCACTCCTGAGCTGTGAATGCAGCAGAGAAAGGGGACACGGTTGTCCCACAGGACTTGCCTTCTCCTGGGGGCCTCTGGGGAGGGAGACATAAGGCAGGAACTCATTAGCACGGGGGGCCTGTTGGAGACTTCGGGGGCGAGTGTCTGTGGGGGGCAGCACAGAAGCCGAGAGCTGACCCTGCAGGAAGGCAGCAAGTGCAGAGGCCCCAAGGCAGGAGTGAGTCTGGGGCATCCGTGGGGCAGCGAGGAGCTCAGGGCTGTGGCGAGTGAGGGAGCGGGTGTGGAAGCCACATCGTGTAGAGCTTTGTGTGGGATTTGAATAAGTTGTTTGTAACTCATAAACCCTCTAAGTCAAAAACAAAGGGAGGGACTTCCCTGGTGGCGCAGCGGTTGAGAATCCACCTGCCAATGCAGGGGACACGGGTTCAAGCCCTGGTCCCAGAAGATCCCACATGCCGTGGAGCAACTAAGCCCATGCGCCACAACTACTGAGCCTGCGCTCTAGAGCCCGTGAGCCACAACTACTGAGCCTGTGAGCCACAACTGCTGAGCCCACATGCCACAACTACTGAAACCCACGGGCCTTAAAGCCCGTGCTTGCAACAAAAAAAAAAAAAAGAGAGAGAAAAAAGGAAAAAGGGAAGGCCTTCTCTCCATGTTGGCTTTTCATGGATTTGGGGGAATTCATTCTAAATCCTTGGGTTTGCTTCAAGAGCTGTTATCACAGTTCCCTCGGACCAGGGCAGATGGTTTGAGAGAACTGCTGGTTCCTTCAGCAGCAGCCGTTCCTTCGGTGGCTGCATTTACCACAGTACCATCCAACCCAGAGACGGGGTAGACACCACGGGACCGGGACTGGCCCCGGGCTCCAGGGCCAGGGCTTCCCTGCTGCTCCGGGCTGGGCTGTGGTCCTGACCTAGAGGCATCATGCGGCCTCGTTTCCTTAGTTTCCGACAGAGGGAAAGGGCTGGTTTCCATCTGATGAATGACACCTGGGTTGTTCTGCTGGAGTCTGGTGTTGAATGGAACTGTTAAGTTAAATGAAATTAAGTGAAATCATATGAGGCCCTAGAAAACTCAGAATCCTGAATTAAGGGGGACGCTGCCAGAATCTTAAGTGGAAGGAGGTTTTTGGAGCAGCCGGGGGAGCCTTCCTTTGGACGCCGCGTCCTGCTCTGGGGCGTCCACGCGAGCCCAGGGCAGTGGGGCTGGGGCTTCTGGAGCCCTGAGCGTGTGGCAGCTCCTCCTGCTTGGGATCCGGGCTCCTGAGGCCGGGGCTGGCTCGTCTCCCGCTGCCTCGGCCCCAGCTCAGTTGACGGGTGGGTGTCTGGCCGCCCCGGCCCCTGGGCAGGGCCACAAAGACCCTTCGGTGAGCGGTCGCCCGGGCTGGGCCGGGGGTCCGGGGCTGAGCGTAGACTCTTGTTTCCGGAAGCATCGACTGCGCCGGGATCCTGAAGCTCAGAAACTCTGACATCGAGCTCCGCAAGGGGGAGACAGACATCGGGAGGAAGAACACGCGGGTGAGGCTGGTCTTCCGCGTCCACGTCCCGCAGCCCAATGGCCGGACGCTGTCGCTGCAGGTCGCCTCCAACCCCATCGAGTGCTGTGAGTTCTGCCCCACCCCACACCCCCATCTCCAGGCTGAGCGGGGCCAGCCCCTGCCGCAGGTTTCCTTTCCAGTAGCACCTTGGTTCTCGTGCGCAGCCCCTGAGCTGTGCTCGTCCCACCCACAACACCCGCACCTTCCTGTGCAGTCACAGAAACCCCTGCACCCTGGCCAGGGCTCCCGCAGCTCCTGTGCGTGCGTGGTGTGAGGGCTGCTGCCGGCTCCCGGCACCTGCGGGAGGGCCTAAGAGGGAAAGGAGGCTTTGTCCCGAAGTACCGAGATGTTTGCCATGACCGAATTTGACTTAATCCCCTCACGATTCAGGGAACTTGAGAAAGTGGCGTTTTGGCCTTGAAATCTGTTGGATTGAAGGGACCTAAATTTGCAAGCCTGCCCGTATGTAACTCGGGTCTCTGTCCCTGGTGGCCCTGGATTCACTGCCCTCGGTGTGCGTGGACGGGCCCCGGTGCTGAGACGCTTCTGGCTCGGATGCCCGTGACCACGCAGCTCCTCCAGGAGCCGGGACCGCCGCGGCCTGGGGTCAGCTTCCTCTTGCAGTGACTCTGTTCGTTTTTGTTAGCGAGTCGGGTGACCGGTTCAGCTCCGCATGGAAATCCCGCAGTGCCCGCCCCTGACCCGGCATCCGGACCCGGGGGGGACCAGAGTCTCCACTGGCCACGGCCCCAGCGAGAGCCTTTCCACCCGCCCTCCTCCTTCTCTCATCTCTGAAGCACCGCCCCACCCCTCCGGTGTGGGCTGTCTCAGGACACCCCCGACCTCGCGGCTCAGCCACCCACCCGTCTTGGCGGGAACATCCTGGCTCGGTTCCTCGGCCTCTGACCTGAGCGTCGGCCAGACCTCGGCGATGGGGCGTCCTTCCCCGCAGCCCCTTCTCCTTCTCTGCTGTGTGGTCTTCACCTCCGTCCCAGCCCTCCCCCCTGCTGCTGCTGGACCCTCCCGTCCAGTCTCTAGAAGTCCATCTCCAGGCCGTGGGGTCTGCCACGGATGGCTCTGCCCCCCTGCCCCGAGGCCCCCGCCCCGTGAGGCGGAGCGGGACCCTCCCTCTCGGGTCCCCTGGCTGTTGGGTGACCGTGTCAGGACCCCTGGCTTGGCCTCACCACCTCTCCAGCCACACTTCTGCCTCCTCCTGCGTCTGGTCCTTTGCCCATCCCGCCCTCCCCGACAGCCTGAGCTTGGCCACCTGTGGCCCGCCAGCCCCTAAGCCAGAGCCCGCTTCAGACGGGTCCCCACATCCCACCTCCTAGCTGGGGACGCCTGCTCTCCAGGCCGTGGCCTCCCCATCACCAGCAGGGCTCCCCACGGCTTCCCCGGGCCCTTCCCACTGGCAGTCAGTCACCCTGGCAGAGCGCACCCACTCACTTACACACACGCGTGTGCACGCTCGTCACTGAGAGGTGAGCTGTCTCCACGTGGACAAGTCAGAGGCGTAGCTGCCTTCCCGTGTCACTCTAACCTGGAGTAGACTGTGAAGACACGGACCACGCGTGGTTACTCTTCTGTTCCGTGTACCAGGAACGGGTCGCTCTGCTCACCCAGGAGCTCTTTGAAAGCAGGGTGTAGTGGCCGCCCCCGAGAGGGCCAAGCAGAGGGGCCTGGGCGCCTCACTCCCGTTGCTCTCCTGCCCCACACAGCCCAGCGCTCGGCCCAGGAGCTGCCCCTCGTGGAGAAGCAGAGCGCGGCCAGCGGCCCCGTCCTCGGTGGGAAGAGGATGGTCCTGTCCGGCCACAACTTTCTGCAGGACTCCAAGGTCATTTTCGTGGAGAAAGCACCAGGTATCTTCTTTAAAAACCAACATCGAGCCCTTGCTGTTTGGGCGCTGGTGGAGGTTGGCTGGCAGGAGGTGGGTGCGGGCGGCCACGGGTGCCGTGCACAGTCCTGGGCCACCGCACGCGGTGCCGGCCGTAGAGGGGCTGCAGGTGCGGGGCCTCCAGGAGGCTGTGCTCTGCTGAGGGGCGGCCCGCGTCTGCCTGGCTAGCGGGTGCCTCCCTCGTGGGCTCCGACCAGCTCCTGCTGCCGGGCCTGCCCGTGCGGAGGCGTCTTCTCGTTTCTCAGAACCACAGACCGTCCGAGGCAGGCGCCTGGGCACGGAGCGGCCACGGTAGCTGAGCGGAACCCCACTGGGCCCGGAGACCCTGCTGTACCTCCGTGGCACGCTTCAGGCCCTCGCCCTTGTCGGCACAGACCCTCAACATGCAAAGGCAGGTGCTGTTCCTTTAGTGACGGCGGCCCCTGGGCCGCTCCGTGCGTGTGTGCACGCCTGTGTGGACCCCTGCACGTGTGCTCGGGAAAGGGGGCTGCGGGTTGGAAGGGGAAGGGTCTCCTCCCTCTGGTGTCTGGGGAACCAGGCAGTGAGCCTCTCGCTGTGCTGCAGGGGAGACGCAGGGGCGGCACAGCTCCTACCCCGGGACGCCCGGCCCGACCACGTGGCCACGTGGTAATAGGGGAAGCGTGTGGACCTTCTGTCTCTCTCAAACTCCGGAGTTTGTTTTGGGGGCGGGTCCTTGCAGGGAGCTGGCCCCCAGGCGGGGGAGGGGCTCCTGTGGGGTCCGGGCCTGCTGCCTTATCCCTCACCTTCTCTTTCCCAGTCACGGTCCCCCTCCCGAGCGCCGGGGCAGGGCTCGTGCTGAGTACCGCAAACCGCAGAGGCACTCAGCCTCCGTAATGGGGTTGATTTTGTACAGTTTGCAGGAAACTTAAGTACTTCAATCAAAATGGGCTTAAAAAGTCTCTCACGTTTAACGTGTTCTGCCTGTACGATCGCGCGTGTGATTGGAAACTGTTTTAGAGGATGGAGCAAACCCGACCAAGTACAGTGGTAGGGGAGGAATCTGTGCTCCCGGAAAGCCCCCCTTTGGACGAGGTGAATTCGGAAATAGTGTAAGCTTTTGTGCTTTAGATGTGTGCACATGCGCAGTGCGCGTGGGGGGGGGGGGCGGGGAGCCCAGGCCTGGTGCTGCGTCCTCACCGCGTCCTCACCGCGCACAGAGACGTCTGTGGCGGGAACCAGCCGGCGCCCCTCGCTGTTTCCTCGACCAGTCAGCCCCGACTTTGACCTTGGTGCCAGGATGGGACTGTGAGACGTCTCCTGACCCCCTCGGCTCGTCGTGGGTGCCCGTGGGGCTCCTAGGTTGGTGTGGCTTACCGTGGCCCAGTCATGGGGCCTTCACAGTGGCCACCCGCCTGCAGGTGGGAGCCGAGTCCTCGGATGTCTGGCAGCCGCCCTCACGTGGCCTCCCGGGCTGCCCCGGCCCCATGCAGGCCGAGCGCCGCTGTCGCTCGCTGTCACGTCGGGGCCCGTCCCCAGCCCGCTCGCTCCTGTGGCAGATCTGCATCTGGCAGGCAGAAGGCGAGAAACCAGCAAGTGGGTGGAGGCCAGACGTCCCGTGAACACCGTGCGACAAGGGAGACGTAAAGACGCGGCTGTGCATCCTGTCACGTCGTGCTTGTGTCCAAGCAGGGTTGTTGGCACGTCTGTGCGCGTACTCGTGCCAGTTCTGTGTTTGCAGGAGGGGCAGGTGTCCACACGCTTTCTGCCTCTGCCTTCGTTCTCAGCACAGCGCATGCCGACGCTGCCTGGCCAGCTGAACTGTCGCTGGGCTTCTCTTGGTTGATTTGCAGGGGGAGAAACCACTGAAGTCAATTTAGATTCCAAGCCTAATCCTCCTCTAGGCTTGCGAGGAGGCCGCCTGGTCTGCTTGAAGGTTCTTTCACCCCCTGCTTGGTGGCAGCAAGGCCGGCGTGCACAGTGAGCCTGGTCTCTGGAGCCGCTGGGCGTGGGCAGTGGGCCCCGTGGCAGCCGCTGCAGGAGCAGGACTGTAGCTGCCGCGAATATTGCCACGTCAGGCACCGGGGGGAGCCGAGCGCTGCGTCACCATGTCCCCTCAACTGCACTGGGCCGCGCTCGGAGCGTCCTCAGTGTTTCAGGGTTCCTCCTGGCTGAGGCCCTGCCGTCACCTGTGTCCTCATCGTGGTGACTGAGCACGGTCCCCGCAGGAGGACGGCCCTCGGAATGTAGGAGCAAAGCCCCGTCTGTGGACGAGGGGCCCGTCACAAAGAGCCGTGGACCAGCCACGCTCAGCTCTGGCTGCATAAGGTGACAACTTTCCGGAACCGTCCTGTGATTCTCCTGAGGTCTTTGTGTCCAGCAAGAGGCTTCAGGGCCTGGCCTTCACGGTTGACAGCCGTGGCCTCCGTGTCAGATGACACCTCCCACAGTGGCCGTGTGTATGCGTGGACACCGGCACAGGCTCACATAGGGGGCGCGGCAGGTGCGGGACGCCACGGCAGGGCCACCTGCAGGAAGTGAGATGCTGTGCCCCGTCTCCCACTGAAGATCTGGGGGTCTCTCTTCAGACCTGTGCGCGGGGGACATATCTGTACGCATGCGTGAGTGTTTGAAACAACCTGACAGATACATGAGAACACAGAGAGAGCGCCCACGTGGAGGGGAACTGCCGCTTCTGGAGACAGGAGAGAGGGAGGCTTCAGAGGTTCCGTTGCCGTGACGTTATCGTGTTCTTGATGCCGACGCTGAAAGTCCCCGCTGCGTGCAGCCCCGGCCTGTGCTCTGCAATTCCCGGAAACCGTGTGAAGCCTGTTCGGGCTTCTGCTGCTGCACAACAGACCTCACCAGAACTTGGCGGCTTCAACAAACAACAGTTTGCCGGCCCTCGCGTGTGGCCGGACGCAGCCGTGGCCCCCGGGTCTCCTACACAAGGCGCCGGGCACCCTCCGTGGGCGCCAGGCCTCCGCAAGGCCCAGACTCAGAGGGGCCGCACCGCACTGGGGCTCACCAGCTCCCAGCCTGCCCAGACTTGGAGGTAGGACACCCAGGGTGTAGACGTGGAGGGTCATCGGGCACAGCGGGACCGCCTGCCACACGACTAGACCACCTCCTTGTCAAACCTCTTACTAAGGCCCCAGAGCCAACAGAGACAGACCCCAGAAGAATAGATTGCGTCCAGGGTCTCCTGAGACCTTAAAACGGAAGCAGGACTTGCTTCCTGCGGGGAAGCGTCTGGAGCCGGAGTCCACACTGAACCAGACGCAGACGTTGCCCGTTTTACGGAAGAGGATCGGAGTCGGGTCGTCATGGGGCCACCCCGGCTGGGTGGTGCCCGGCGGTCCTTTGGCTTTTGGGGTCTGGCCGCTGTGGTCGGCCTTCGCCGGGCGGCGTCTCGGGTAGGGCCTTGCGGGTCGGGTGTCACTCACCGGTTGTCCAGCTGGCACTCAGGCTGCGGCCCCGCTGACCCAGGTGTTGGTCCCAGGGGTTCTGGAACTTGCACAGAACGGACCCCGCTGGCTGGTGCGCCGCTCACACCCAGAAGCCAAGACTTGGTGCGGGGGAGACGCTGTGTTCAGATGCTTCTGGCGCTGACCCAGGAAGGCGGGCGGGGAAGGTGCTGCGCGTCCACGAGGACGGCTGTGGTCGTGGGCGGCTGACCTCTGCGGGTGGGGTCTTAGGGTAGCCCTGGGCCGAGACGCCTCCGGGTGTGGGCTTGTGGGGCGGTGGGGTTGTGGGAGCTGCTGCCCCCTGGTAGCCCCAGCCTGCGACCTGCCTGGGACTGACCGTCCGGGAAGCGGCCCTGACCCCTAGTCAGCAGACAAGAGCAGCGGCTGGGCCCTTCTTGTCCTCAGAAGGCTCTTTCTCACTTTGTGGCCTCGGAATTCAGTGATCCTCCCATGCTTCTAAACTATACAACATCTTGAACAGGCTTGGGAGGGATCACGCTACCCTCGCACCCCTCCGCAGAGATGGGCAGACGGGCAGGGCCCTGTCAGGTGCGCAGGCTCTGTTGGCATCAGGGGCCCGAGGGCCCTTCTCCTCCCGGCTCCGAGCTCTCCCCTTTGTCGGTGTCCCGGGACGCACCCTCGCCCCTGTCCCCGGGGACCTCCCCTCCCTGCAGGGCTCTCCTCGTGGGTGTGCATGTGACAGGCTGGGGAGGGGAGTGGGCTGCCGCTGCTGGACCGGGCGGTGGGCTCAGCGTGACCTCTGCCCTCCCTGGCCTTCACGGCCCCGGCTGCACCTCTCCCTCCAGGGCACGGCCGCCTGCAGTGGAGGATGCGGGGGTGTGAGGCCGGCTGTGAGCCTTGCGGGGGCTGCAGTAGCCAGAGTGGAGTTCTGTGCACGCGTGGGTGTCACCAGAGAGCCCCCTCGGCTTGGCCAGGCTCGCTCGTCCCTTCCTCCGGGCGCCTCCCCAGGAGGGCTCCAGAGAGTGGGCCCGGGTCCCTCCCGGGGAGGGGCAGCGGGGTGGGAGTGGGCACGGCGGGGGGAGCGGCTCCAGGCTCTGGCCTCTTTCAGGACCACGTGTGGTGACGCCGCGTGCGGCCGTGTGGGAGGATTCGTTTTCCGTGTCAGCCACGTTGAGCTGTAACTCACAGACCGCACAACTCGCCCGTCTGAAGTCCAAGGGCTTGGGTTGATTCAGAGCCCAGCACATATATCCCAGGACATTCTCCTCACCCCAAAGAAGCTTCACCCGCTAGCCGTCACCCTTGTCCTCCCGCAGCCTGGCAGCCGAGGACCGCTTTCTGTCTCCACGGACTTGCCTGCTCAGGGTGTCCTGTGGGCCCAGCTCCTCCACCCAGCGAGGTCCTTGAGGTCCATCCCGCAGGAGCATCAGGACGTCACCCTCTGAGGACCGGAGAGAGAATGTCCTGGTCCTCGTTTGCCGTGCACGGCCGTCGGTGTCATGCGTGACGCTGCAGTGGCTCCGTGCGTGGGCTCCCGAGAGCACACGTGTGTTGCTCCCCTGGGCGCTCCTGGCGGGGGTGTCGGGCCTCAGAGGTGCCGCGGCGGCTGGACCTTCCCTCACTCTGGAGGTGCATCTGCTGGTCCGCGGGGCTCCGACGGCCCGAGTGTGCCACCACGTGTGGGTCAGAGGCAGCACCTCCGCCCCGGCCCTGCGGAGGGCCGGAAACAAGTGAGGCTGCTGGGGACCCTCGGGCCTCTGTCGGTGGCCCCCGCTCAGCCCTGTCCCACGGAGGCAGCTCCTCCCGAGGCGGCTGTGGAAGCCTCCTGGCCGTGGGTGGGGTGGGGAAGCCTTTCTGATGACTCACGCCGCAGGGAATTCCCTAATGATTGGGAATATTTTTACTTCTGGGCTTGCGCGCAGTTTCCTACTGAGAAAGCCAGCAAGTTCCTGATAAGGCTGGAACACAAAGGGCCCTTCAGGGCCTATCGCTTCCCTTCCTGGTACAGGCTGAACTTGCGCAGGACGCCCAGCCAGGCCTGTGCAGAAGAGGCCGCCCAGAGGCCGCATGGCCTCCCACCCGAGGGAGGCCAGAGCAGCTCTGGGGAGTCAGCAGCCAGTGGGCCTGCGGGTGCCGGTGGGGAGGGTCCCCATGTGACGACAGAGCAGGCAGTCACCAGCCCTGGGCGGCTCCTCCTGTCTTGGCCCTGAGCAGGGCTGCGTGTGCACTTCTGACCAAGGAGGCATTGGCCTCTAAGAGCTCACGCTGCGCTTGGGATCCCCAAGGCCGGCTCCTCGGCTGTGACTCAACCACAGAATAGAGACCTCGGGGCCAGAGCCCCCCAGGGCCAGTGTGGCGGGGACACAGGGAGCCCTGGGCCTGTGAGTCGGGCTTTAGTGGTATGGCTTGAGGGTCTGTACTTTCGGAAACCGTGCCGGTGGCCAGGCGTGGCTGGCTCGCAGGCCTGGTACACACAGTGGGACCGCCAGCCCCCAGCCAGGCGCTGTGACGAGGACGGCGTCCCAAAGGCCCGGGAGGCCCTGGAGGGAAGAGACCCCTCCCGCCCTGCGTGTCCTCAGCGTGCACACTCCACCGCCCGCTCCACTCCATGCCTGTATTTCCCTTAGTTTTTGTTCCACGGGTGAACCTGCAACAGCGTTCCTGGGAGGCTGGTCTGGTCTCGGGCCCCTCCTGGAGGGCGGTGGTGGTAAGGTGGACGCCGGGTAATGCTGGGCGGCCTCAGTCTCCCCTCTCCTGACGGGAGGCCCGTCAGCCTCTGTCGACAAAAGACTGAGCGGCTGCCGACAGTTCAGGTTTTAGCGCTTAAAGCTGTTTTGGGGGAAAGGGACAAAGATAGGCTTTGTCATGAGAAAACTTGTTGATCTTAAAGGCACCAAGGACACGGGAGCCTTGATTACAGGAAGAGTAACTTCGATCTCCTCAAACCGGTGGGGGGCCCGACAGTACGTCCGTGTGCGCGGCAGGTCTGGGCTGCGCCACGCAGCAGCCTGCGTCCCGTAGCGCTTTGCACAGGCGCTGGGATCCCCCCTCGTTTATTGGCCCAGGGTCAGGGCACCTCGTTCACCGAGTCCTGTGCTCACAGGGCTCTGGAGCGTTTGCTGCTTTGCAGAACTCCTGATGCCTTTAAGGGCGGTGGGTGTTCTTTCCATTTCCTGTTATTTTTTCCTAGAGGAGAGATGGATGCGGGTCCCTCGGGCCTCCGGCCCTTGTCTTATCACTGAGTGGGTCCATCTGGTGGATACTCAGCATGGGCATCTCCGCGTCCCGAGGGGCTGGTGTGGTCCTGGCACGTCCCAGCCTCTCTGTGACTCACATTTCCTCTCTGCTCCACCCTCCGCCCCTGCCCGGCCAGCACTGCCAGGGAGAAAAAGGAGATTTTGTCTAATTTATTTATAATTTAGGATTTGGAACACACACACATTTCTTCTTGGAAAACAGAGAATAAGCAACCGCTCAGCCCATCCAGCTGTAATGGTTTGTTTGGGGAGCCGACTTTATACAAGATGCAGAGGAAGGAGGCCCCTGTAGAGACTGACGTCTATTAATTCAAAGTAACGGCCAAACGTGGTCCACAAACAGTGTGCCACCCCGAAGTGCTTCCCAGCTCCCAGAAAACGGCTCCGCTCCGTCACCCCGGAGGGCGGGCTTCCAGGCTTTGGCTCCCTCGAGGGCCTGGTCCAGGGACAATAAACCCTTTCTTTCACGGCACTGGAGCCTTTTCAGTTTTTTCAAACATGCAAACGCCACAGGGTGAGGTTAAAAATACCTTGTGTTTTGCATTTCTGTATCCTGATGCGCCAAAGCACAGTCACAGAGCGGATTTTCTTGTTCACCCGGCAGTTCCCCTGAGCTGGGGCAGGACCCAAGGCTCCCGGGCCCCTGCTCATTAGAATAACCCTGCTCCCGAGACACCGAGGGCTCTGTGGCCCCAGTCACGAGGCCCCGCACCCCCCTGTATGCCGCAGGCCAGACTCAAACCGGGTCCGAGTCCCCAGACAGCGCCCTTCTTACCTGGGTCATCCGCGCGCCTCCCGGGCTCGCTCCCCTTGGAGACCCGAGCGTGAACCCCTCCCGGGGCTGGCGCTGGGGGTGCTCGCTGGCACGTGGCTCCTTCCTGCAGAGCGGGGGTCTCCAGGCCCCACCAGGTCCATGCTCTCAGGTTTGGGTTTGAGCTTCTCCCCAGGGCCTCGTGGCCTCTCTCCAGCCGGTCAGTCAGGTGCGGCATCCCAGTCTCACCAGCTGCTAGTGGGCCGGCCGGGCCAGGGTGGACCCTCTCATCAGAGGGTTCCCGCCCCGAGTCCCGTCTGCTTGCATCCAGGTGTGATTTCGGGGCGGTGCCCGGTCAGGACAGAGTAACGGACTTCTCGCGCCCTTTCTTGCAGACGGCCACCACATCTGGGAGATGGAGGCGAAAATCGACGGAGCCCTGTGCAAGCCGGTGAGTGCGGCGGGTGGCCATGGGTGGCGCTCTCTGGGCGGGGCTTTTTATCGGCGGTGGCTCCTGGCCCAAGGCACATGGCTTCTCCTTTGTTAAAACGAACCACTGATGAACATAACAGACAGAGCGAGGAACAGAAATGGTTGGGAAATGCCTCCCGACATAAGCGCTCTCGGGATTTGCAGCACGGGCACGACTCGGATGTGGGGCCACCAGAGAGGACAGGGCGCCTCGTGTGCTGCAGGCCCCCCACCAGGAAGACCAGGATGCACTCATACCCCCGGGGCCTGCTGTCCCCTCTGGCTGCCATTGTCACCAGGGCCCCAGGGGGCCCGCTGCCCCCCCACCCCACCCCGCTGGGAGGACCTGCTGTCCGGAACCTAAGCGCACCTTCCCCGCTCCTGGGCAGGTGGGCCTCGAGGTTCCGCCAGCATCCTTGACAGTGACCCCTCACTGCTGTCCTCCCAGGGAAGAGCCAGGACACAGACGCGAGGTCAGACAGTGTGCTCAACTGGCTTGTCCGTTGGCCGGCAGCCGGGGCCCCTGCGGGGACGGGCGCCCGCTGCACACGCCTGACCTCTGAGGGGTCGCTGCGCTGGCCCAGGGCCTGCCTGAGCCCGTCCTTACGCGTGGCCTCCCATGGCCCTCGTGGTTGTTCACGCACGGAGGGACCTGAGGCAGAATGATTGTTTCTCGAGTTGTCGATGGAGGATGTTTTCTGTGTGAAGTCACGTAGCTGCTGCAGCTTTCTCTGGCCCGCCTTTCAGTCTGTGTCCTTGTGTTTTAAGCGGGCCCTTGCAGACAGCAAAGAGCCGGGCCTTGTGTTCTTACCTGCCCTCACAGCCTCTGTCTTCTCGCTGGGGTGTTGAGACCATTGTGTGTGAAGCGATTATTGCCGGGGTTGGGTTAACTGTGCACCACTGAGTGCGTGTGTGTCCTACTTAGTCCCAGAAGAGCAGTAGAAACCTTCAGGTAACATAAAGTACAGGCTAGCAGGTGACTTTCTGGAGACGTTCACAGACCTTCCAGGCTCTCTGCCTCGGCCCACCAGCCACTCCTGACGCAGGTGTGTGGATGCAGGGAATGGGGGTCACGGTTCAGAATCTCGTCCAGGTCAAGGACTGAATTTTTTCCTCAGGCTCCCCCGTGTGAACAGGGGACCTCGGGCTGTGGGCTTTGCCGAAGGGATCTAGGCGCCCTCTGCGCGGTGGCCGGGAGGACACGTGCTGGGAAGGAGGCCTGGGGCCTGCACTTCCTCCGCACAGGTGGCGCCGTCAGGAAGAAGCATCTTTCACCTGCGACTTAAGCTTTCTTTTCCAAGCACCGACCCATTTACCAGAAGGCTTTTCAAATGGTATCAGAAGGAGATGCTTCCTCCCTGGCCCAGGGGCGACACCTGCGTCCACGACCTCGCTCCCCTCAGGGTGTCCAGGCCTCTAACCTCACACATCCTCTTGGGCTCCTCCTGGCCCCCCCGAGAAAGTGCCCCGTCTCAGGCAGCTCCACTTTCTGACGGGGACTCTGGGTCCCGCAGGCCCAGCAGTCGCAGAGCCGGCCCTCAGGTTTGCTGTGACAGACACTGGCCACCAGCCGTCACCCCGAAACGGGGGCCCTCGGCTCCCAGTTCCAGCCCCACCGCAGGCCCGAGTCCTCTGCCCCCAGGCCCCAGTGCCGCCCACCCCTTCTCCCTGGGCAGGAAGGAGAGGCCTGCAGAAGCTATGCATCTGTTGGCATCGAAATAATTCTGCCAAGTTTGCATGTTCAGATTTTCCGTTGTTGAGTTTCCTTTTCCACTGTGAACAGCGCATATATTAAAGAAAGCTTAACAGTTATCAGTCATGTGTTCTAAAAGAAACGTAGGACATGTGAATAATGGTGTGCTTTACGTTCACCATTTCATCTTTCTTATCTCTTAAATGAAGTTTACTTTTATATGTTTTTTTCTAATTATAAAAGAGTGTCGTATTCACTGTGGAAAGTTGGAAGATACAGCAAAGTATAACCAAGAAAACGCCAAGTGTAGCTTCACCACTTGGATGTGGCCGCCATTAACACTTGGGCGCATTTCCTTCCATCCTTTTCCTGTCATGTGTGTGTATCTACATGTGCACACACATATATACATGTACCTTATGTTGTGTGCATATTTAAAACAAGGTCGGATTGTGCTGTATATATAGTTTATGTACTATCGGGAGCAATTTAGACAATGGGTTTTCTTTTTTTTAATTTATTTATTTTATTTATTTACTTTTGGCTACACACGGGCTTTTCTCTAGTTGCGGTGAGCGGGGGCTAATCTTGGTTGCGGTGCACAGGCTTCTTCTCGTTGCGGTGGCTTCTCTTATTGTGGCTCACGGGCTCTAAGCGCGTGGGCTTCAGTAACTGTGGCTCGCGGGCTTAGTTGCTCCGCGGCCTGTGGGATCCTCCCGGACCAGGGATCGAACCCATGTACCCTGCACTGGCAGGTGGATCCTTAACCACTGCGCCACCAGGGAAGCCCCCAGACAGTGGGTGTTCTTAAAGCAGGTGACATGGATCTACTGAGTGCCGTTTGTAACCCTTACTCTGTTCCTGTCATGACAGGTTTTCCTGTCACTCCATTTTCCTTCCCACCTCTGCCTTACTGTGTATTTAGCATTAGTGCTCCACGAGGACAGAACTTTGTCACAAAATTTCATAGTTTGTCTAGCATATCAGTCTGTGCCCACATCAAAACACAACCCTCCAGCCTCTTAGAACCCACAGAAGCCGACCGCGTGACGTGGAACCTGCTCGAGGCTCCTTGCCCTGCCGGACGCATCCCGGTACTTCCTGCAGCTGCTCCTGTTGATGCCTCCCCGCTTTGCTTCTGGCCTCGGCTTAGGCAAACCCTCTTCCTTTCTGTCTCTTGTCCTGGTTCCTCCTGTAGAGATCGGGCTCTGGTCACCGTGGGCCGCCGTGTCTGCCATCATGGCGCACCAGCTGTGTGCCGGGCGCCAGCATCACCTGCAGGGTCGCCTCATATCATTGAATTCTCAGAAAACAGCCCCCAAGGAGTGTCTTTCTCTTCCGGTTCCCTGTGCAGGTGGTGGAGCTAAGACTCAGAGATGGCAGAGCCAGGGCAGAAACCCAGACCCGTTGGGCCCCAGCCAGGCTCCCGAACACGGGCCGCGTAGCTGGGGTGCAGACTCTCAGCAGGGGTCTGGCCGGGCGCACACCCTCACCCCCACTGGGTCCGTCCCCTTGGGGTTCCTTTGCTCAGGCAGGAGACCTGCGTGCTTGTGGCTTCTTCCAAATGGAATGAAGCTGTTAGAACAACAGGGGCACATTGCCTGACCCAAGTGTGGCCCCAGGGGACGGAGCCCAGAGGGGGCTGCAGCCCGGGTCCCGGCCCCTCTGGCCCTGCCACTCGTATGCCCTCAGCAGCAGGCTTCTGAGCCCCATTTCTTCACCTGGAAAGGGAAGAGGTTGCCCTGAAGTTCTCCTCAGTTTTGGTTAAACATTCTTCAGATTTCATTATTAACAGGATTCAATCAATTTTGCTGCTAAATTGGGTAACAGGCTACAGTTACTCTAATTTTAAAAAAAAGGGATGCCATGGATTTTTCTTATACATTTTCCTACTTGTTAACCGAAATCATATGACAAAAAGCCTTGAAGAAACTTTCTGGATGTAAACTCTCCTCCCCACTCCCTAAATCAAGGGCACCTCTTTGGCGCCAAGGACGGGCCCTCATGTGGACGCCCGGTCTCAGCACACAGACCCCAGCCTGCTTCCTTCTCCCACACGCATGCTGTCCCACGGCGACCTGTGTTTATACCTGTACTTGAAAGGGCACACTTTTATAAACGTGTCGCTGACTTTCCATTGAAAACATGGAAAGGTAACAGCAGCTTCCGCAAGCCACCCTGATGCATCCATGCCTGACTGTCCGCCCCTCCCAAGTTCGCTGAGTCCGACTCTCCCGTCCCCTTCGATTTGAGAGGGTCATGGCTTGGGCTTTGGGCTGTCGGCACAGAACGTCTGCGGCGAGCACTTCCCCTGGGTCTTCGTTGCCAGTTACCTGAACTGCTGCTCCCGGCTTCCCCAGGAGCACCAAGTCGGTGAATGTGGGCTTAGTTTTCTGAAGGTCATGCCTTGGCGTGGGGGCAGAGGGGCGTGGGGTCTTGTGGAGACTTCCCTGCCCGATAGCGGGCCCGCTCTTAGCATCTGTGCTCACGGCTTCTCTCCTGGGCCAAGTCAGTGGCATCGTAGGTGAAGCCCCCCACCTCCCTACCTCGCACACACCCTCAGCCCACCTTTCAGCTCTGCTGGGAGGAATCAGGGTCCCTGCAGGCTCTCAGGGTGGCCTCTCTGAAGGGGAAACCTGCCGTGTGTTTCACACTCCGGGAGGGCCTGGGTGTGTCTGTGCGTTTGCGAGATGCTCACCGCCCCCTCCTTCTGCCGCTTTCTCACTAGAATTCGCTGGTGGTGGAGATCCCGCCTTTTCGCAACCAGAGGATAACCAGCCCCGTCCAAGTCAACTTCTACGTCTGCAACGGGAAGCGGAAGAGGAGCCAGTACCAGCACTTCACCTACCTGCCCGCCAATGGTAACGCTCTCTTTCTAACCCTAAACGCTGCGAACCAACCCACGGGGTGCTTTTCCTGAAAGAAAATCAGGAACCCTGACACGTGGTGGCTTCAGACCGTGTGGTCGCGCTGTACGCCCGAGCTGTTACCGTCCTGTTAGCAAGATCACGTCATCGGTTCCTTCCAGAGAAAAGTGAAGCTTTCAGTGTATTTTCCTTTATTACTCTTGGGGCTGGGGGCTGCATTTGGGGATACTTACTGATCATTTTGCTAGCTGCTTGCAGATATACAACCGCCAAGGGGGAAAAGGTGCAGCTCTTCTGTACACAGAAGCTGAGGTGGCCTCTGTGTGAGTTTAAGTTCTAGAGCTGTTTAAGGCGGAGAAGCAAACAGTTATAATGATTTTGCAGGTGCCTTTAGAAATAAACCCTTGTATGAAGCCTGAAGGCTGGTGGTTGGTGTGATCATTAACTAACGGTAATGATTTCTGTCCTCGAGCTAACGTCCCACAGAAAACTCTTGGTTGGATAATTGCATCTCCGGTGACCAGGAGGCTTGCGCTCCCAAACACCCTTTACTCGACCAAAAAGCACCTCGTTCAGATTGTCCGCTCACACGCTCTGAGGATGGTTTCTTGGCCTGAAAAAGACCTGTTTACCTTCTCCACTTTTCAGGCTGTTTTCTGAAGGAGAACAGCATCGTGTGTTGTTTCGCTTCTGAACTAGTAGAAAGTTGTTTCTCGGTGTTGCCCAGACCCGAGGCCTGGCGCCCGGGGCCCATGCCGCCCTCCTCCAGGCCGGCAGGGTGTGTGTCCAGAGAGGGCCGCGTCCTGATTCACCTGTGTCACGTAAGCACAGCTGTGCCAACAGTCTTGTTATACTGTGACGGCTGTTTTAAAAACTTGAGATTCATATAACCTAGGAGGGAAACCATGCACTAGGACTGATTGCAAAAGCAGCCATGTCATCATCTTAGTAAAAGCAAGACGTTTTTGAAGGCTTCGGTCTTCTCCTAGTGTGAAATGTCACGTACGATAGACTAGGTGATAGAAAGCCCTGGAAAACCCGAGGGGATAGCAAGTAGAATCAACTGTTTTTCGGGCAGACGCTAGCCACGCCTGTCCAGGCTTGAATAACGCGGTCTCGTGTTCATCACGTCACGAGCGTGTACGTGAACAGACCTGCAGGAGTGTGCGTTGCCGTGGGGCCGTCTGTGGGGGGCCCCTCCGGGACTTCTGTGATGGGTACTGCACACTCCACTAATCCTGCCTGTTCTCGGATGTGGTACTACATTCCTTACAGCAGAAAATACTCAGTCTTTGTTTGGAAATGTAATGATCGTGTCCTGATTAAAATTCAAGCATGGTTGACTAAAAATTGAATGCTTTAAAGAAAACCTATGCTTACAAAGAAAAATTCCTTTCTAAAGCAGTTTAGAAATCAGCTCAAACATCGTTTCCTGCAGTTCCTGCTCGAAGTTCACCTCCCGCTTAACACAGACACCCCCAGTCAGAGGGAGGGGGTCTGCACGCAAACCGGGTCCCCCTTTCAGGGGGGGGTACCGTGGCCCCCAGAGACACGTCACTGAGATCCTGGGGCAGGGCTGTCGAGGGGCCACCATCCCCCCCCAACCCTACAGTTGCCGTTCAGTCCTGCAGGCTCCCTCCCGCCAGGGGCTGACCTGCCCCCCGCTCCGCACCCCATCACCCCCGTGTCAGCCCAGCACACCCATCGCTCATGCTGTGTGGACTGTCACCCGGACCCCCCGGTCCCTCGAGCTGGTGGCCCAGCCCCGCCCACAGAGCCGTCCGTCCGTCCGTCCGTCCCTCCGGAGCATGGCTGTCTGGCTCTGTGGCCTGTGCTGCCTTCCTCAGGCCCTGGTCTCCCTTCACTTCTCTCCTGGAGATCTGCCCCGTCCCAGGGGGTCGAGGGGTCCGTGCCACCCACGCCCGAGAGCCCCAGCCCTGCCCTGCCTTCCTGGGTGGCCGTGCCCCGTGGGGCTGTGAGCTCCCTGGGAGCAGGGACCCCAGCCGGCCCTGACTCCGTGCCCGGATCGTGGGGACCGTCGTCCTGTGCTTTTCTTTTGTAAACAATAAATGCACCAGTGCAAGACCAGAACTCGAGCTCCCAGCTTTAGGTTTGGTGTTTTTTCTCGCGGTCGCTTCTGCGCCCTGCAGCTTCGGGCTGAGTCTTCACGTGGCTCAGCAGGCAGTGTTGGTTAGGGGCCAGGTGGGCCGGCCGCCTCTCTCACCTCCTTCCCATGCCTGGTCTCAGCCTGTCCTTACCCTCCGAAGCCTCCGCCGCAGAGAAGCCCACCACCCCGTCGCCCGCCGTCTCAAGCATCGTTAGTGTCGTTGTTCAAGCCGGAAGGAAGCCCGGCTGCGGGTCTGCACGGGGCCTGGGCAGCTAGGGCTGCTCCCCGTCTCTGGGCCGTGTTTGGGGGAAAGTCTCCAAGTGCGTGTAGGGCGCCCTGAGCAAGCAGAGTGTGTACAGCGGGGGCTCCTGGCGGGAAGGTCAAGGGCAGAGCAGAGAAGACAGCCGGGCAGTTGCAGGAGAGGCCACGGACCCACCCACGTGCAGCCAGGGAGGTCTTCCTCAGTTTCTTGTTCGTCGCTGTCTGGGTTTAACCGCAGTCTCCTGAAAGAAAGCGTCCGCTCTCTCCAGCGCTGTGAGCTGAGGGGCCCTGGTACCTGTCACGAGGCCGAGACCCCGGGGAAACAGCCCCAGTTAAAGAGGGAAAGGAGCCTGCTCTGTGGTGAGCGGCCCCTGGGTTCGGGGGGACGACAACGTCCACCCTGGCTGTGTCCCCAGGGCTTCTGCTTCCGACACTGCCCAGTGACCCCGGGACGAGCAGGCAGGGGCGGCAGCTCACACACTAGGGGGGAATCCCAGCCAATGACTTCAGAGTCATGGGCCAAAGTCAGCATGTTCCTAAAATGAGGAAGTCAGTCATGACAGATCCTCGGGCCTGGAGGGTCTGTCTGTTCCCCTGAGATGTTTCTAGCTGGTCCCCAGGAGTGCCTGCGGTGGCACCAGTCCCCCTGCCCACCTGTTGCTTGGGGTGAGGGTCCTGGAGCTTCACCAGAGTCAGCCAGGGAGGCCCTGGGGGTGTTGATCCTGGGCCTAAAGCCCACCCGACACTCCCACCTGAAGGCTGAGGGGAGCCGGGTGGGTCCTGGTGCAGGCCGGCGGGAGCCGGGACGGGGCGCCCGCTGTGGCTGGTGGCACGGCCGCTGCCTGTGGGCCTTTTGGAACCTTCCTGAGTCAGCTCAGTGGTGTGGCGACTGCGTGGCGGTGAGCGTGCATTGGAGGGGGACGGTGCACAGCTACGCATGTCGGGCTCATGCAGGCGCTGTGATGCGCCTTCTCCTGGGAATTCCCGCGTCCCGGAGGCCGCTGTTAGTAAATTGCCAATTTTACGGGTGCTCTCGCTGTTCCAGCAGGAGAACGAGGGACCGATGTTTTCATTTCTTTCCACGTTAAACCTGCCGCCGCAGAGAGGCAGGGAATTGGCTGCGCCACCGGGCCCCCCGGGAGGGACGAGTCAGGGCCGGGCCGGGGCCCGTGGGGAGGGTTTGGAAGCCGCCCTTCCCCGCAGCGCTCTCCACGGGCCTGAGCTCTTCACAGTGTGTCTGGTTCGCACGCCGCTGGCCTTCCCATGAGGTGTCCAGACCCAGTGGCAGGAGAGCCCAGGCGTGTGAAGGGGAGGGGACTTCCCCTCTAAAGGCCACCACGGGGTCAACTCTGTCGACCGTCCTGACAGACACCGGCCTGAGGCCCCCGACGCGGCCTTGAATCCGCAGGGAGGGGTTTGAGCTTGGAAGAGAGTAGGACGAGGGGGTGAATCGTGGGGCCTGAGCTGCTGGGAAAGAAGGCGGGTGCCCTTTCCGCGGGGGGGCCACACCCAAGGCTCCCCCACTGAGACCGTCACCCGTGGCGGAACAGCAAGGGGGAGGGTGGTTTTGATCAGATACCTGAGGGCCACGGCCACCGACTGCAAAGGCAACGCGAGTCGGGAGTGAGGCCGGACCCCCAAGAAGTCTGAGCACAGCCTTGCGGAGGGAAGACCTGGTGACCCCTTCCCCCGGGGACCAGGGCCTGCCCACGACAGCGTGCGGCGCGGGGGTTACCCCAGCACGGCCCCCCGCCAAGTCACAGCCCTCGGTGCGCAGCTGCTCGGGTCAAACCGCAGGAGAGTGAATCACGTTCCCTTCGGATGCAGCGCTGGCAACAGTGGGTGAAGTCTGAGCAGCGCGTTTGCTGGCTCGTGCGGTCTGCTCTGCCCGAAGGCCGTTGCCAGCCTAGCTGCGGGGAGCCGGAGCCCCGGGTAAGGGCCCTGGAGCCACGGGGCTGGCGCCACAGACGGCGAGGCCACCACACCCGCTCACACCCCGCCTGCCGCGACAGAGCTGTGAAGCCGGCCGTCGCTCACTGTCTGGGCGCCCTCGGTCTCTGTCTCCCGGTGTCCACTCGACGCTCCCGCAGAGGCTGCCAGGCAGCACCCCCAGAAAGGCGGGGAGGACCCGAGAGAGGACAGGCCACCCCGTCGGGCTTGGCGGGCACTGCCGCCACCACGGAGCTGGGGTCTCGGCGGAGTCTGTGGTGTCTCAGTCGGGAGGTTCCTGCCATGCGCCCAGAGCCTTGTCCTCTGGGAACCCGAGGGCCTGGCGCAAGTGCTGGCTGTGCTGTGGTGGGGCAGGAGCTTGTCCCCAAAGGAAGAAACGCGGTCCCTGCCGTCACGCGGCGGTGGGGTCTGTGAGTCCCCTCCTTGCCCACCGGTCCATCCGCCCCCCAGGCCCCTCTTGGCCCTGGACGCGGACGTGGGTACCCGCTTGCTGAGGGTCGGCGGTGCAGGAGGCTCCTGTCACCACGTTTCCTGCCTCAGAAAAGTCGTGCCCTGAAGCTACCCTGCTGGCGTTTGTGTCAACGGCTCAAATGCCGCGTAACAAACAGAAGACAGTCTGAGCTTCGTTCTCCGTTCTCCGGGGCTCAGAGCAACCTCTTCTGCATAGGGCGGTGGC